ATGATTCCTCTCAGTACCCGTCTTGGGCTCCACGGAGAAGTAGGGCTCCCCCTGCAGGATGGAGTAGATGAGCTTGGCGTTGTTGCCGAACATGGGATCATCAGCATCTGTGGCTGTCACCTGGGCCACCGTGGTCCCTGTAGGGGGGGTTTGAGGGGGGAGGAGGAGGAGGATCACACAGTCAGAGTTAGCTCAGGCAGCAGTTCCAGTCGACGGGGAAATAAAGTGATTATGCCACAGTCCCGCGGGGTCTGTCTGTCTGGCTCAGGGGGGGGGATATGTGGTGGAAATGGAAGAAGGGGAGCGAGGGAGGGAGGAGGAGTGTTGACTGAGGGTTGGGGAGGCGGTGGCGGAGGGAGGTGGGCAGCGGCGATGGCCTTTCACAACTCGGTAAGGTCTGTGCAGGTGTGCGTGACAACCTCTCCAGCCCTATAGCGACATCTCACTACCCACCTGCCCTCTCGTTTTCTCTCCTTCGCGCTGATTCAGTTTTACCTCTCTATCTTTCACACTTACTACCCTTTTCTCCGCTGACCATATCCTTGTCCTCACCTTGCTTTCTACAATATCTTTTTTTATTTTTTTCCTCCTTCCCGCAGCAGCAGCAGCAGCAGCCCTCCTTCTCTATCTCGCTCTCTCTTTTTTCTTCTTCTATCCCAGAGAGCACTCCGTCTTTCACACAGGCAGGGATTTACCGCCGCATTTTCGTATTTTTCCGATGCCCTCGCTCCAACCTCCCCCCATCCCAACCCACTCTCACTTTCTCTTTCTGAGTCAAATGCATTATGATTTATTACGAGTTAGATATTATGCTGCAAAAGCAGATTACATATAAATTGAAATGGTAATGTTTTGTGGTATGAAAGGGCAGTGGTTATAATAACATTATTTAAGTCATTTATCCGTAAAGGCATCCGAGCCACGATACAGAATCTAATACTTTTAACTTCCTGAATGGGGACAGATGACAGACATTTATATAACCTTTTGTTCATTGTCTTCAGTCAAGATTCAATTTGGGGGGAAAAAAAATCATTTCAAAAGTGTATATATATATATTTTTATCTGTACAATAGAAATAGATGAACTTTTAATATCGAAACAAATCACTTGTGAAAACTTAAAATACAGAATTCTTTTCAAGAGTAGATATTAATCATGAAAATTACTTTTGAATATTTTTTAGTCCATTCCTAATCTTAGTACACCGAAGAAAAACACTCTGTAAAATAAATCAATATGACGAGATTTAGACTGATGCTAATTCTGATGCTAAGCTAATGGCGCTTGTCTTCAATCAAGTTGAATATGAGTAAACTAATTTCAAAATGTGTATTTTTTTTTAATCCTCGCAGTAGAAAACAATGAATTTTTAATTAGTAAACAAAACACTTATTTATCTGAAAAATACTTAAATAACAGAATTCTTTTAAAGACTAGATATTAATCTGCTAATTTTGAATATTATTTTGCCCATCGCTGATATTACTACACCTAAATACACTCTTTTAAAAAAATTCAAATAAGTAGAAAGTAGAAATAATCAGATTTAGACTAATGCTAATTGTGATGCTAAGCTAATGGCTCTATGAGGCTGTACCTGCACACCAATGGTTTTTAATGCTAACATCAACTAACACTGACAATCCTAACATGCTCATGTTCACCATTTTAATTTAGCATATAAGTGCGCTAACATTTGCTCAGCTCCATGTTTACAGTAAAGGCTGATGGGATATTTATGAGTATGAGGGAGGTTTTTGGTGACCTGACCCTTAAAATTCACTTTTAGCCACATTTTCAGCTCTTACTGTCAAAGGGAGCCTTTTGCTTTCATTTTTTTCAAACCTACCAGTCGGACACATCTCGGGGATGCTGGACACATACGGCTCGTTTTGGAACTGGGGCACATTGTCATTGATGTCCTGCACCTTGATGATAAACTCCGACTGGGGCTCCTCTGGTTCGTTGGACCTCCTGTTGATCGCCTGGGCTTGAAGGATGTAGAAGGCCTTTTCCTCGCGGTCGAGCTTCTTCAGCGTCCGGATCTCGCCGGAATACTCGTCTATCTCAAAAGCATCTCCGGCACCTTCTCCTGATAACACGTACTTGATGGAAAACTCGCCTCGGTCAGAGTCGGATTTGAGCTACAACAAACAGGAAGGTGGTGGTGGGGGGGGAGGGATTATATAAAAGCTGGATGACTTTTTTTAAAACATGTTTTTTTCTGAGGTAACTGGAAAACATGCATTTTCAAAGGGAAGCACCGTATCAAGGACATGGCGGACATTCAATGTGAAGTGGTACCTGGCCAATAACTCGAGGAGTGGGATCTTCCTCGGGGACAAACAGCTGTTTCCAGATCCAGCCTCTCCTCAGGCGACGATGCAGATGAGTGGACCCCTGGGCCAGCTGTTGGGTTTCCAGGCCCTGAGCTCCTCTCATATCGCTCAGCACCCCGCCAGGAATCATGGAGAACACCGTCACCACAGCCAAAACGCTGGGCGTGCTCATTTTTACAGTCCATCCGTGCATTTCCTCTGCGTTTCCCATGGTTTAGTGGACAAAGATAGAGGCCTCGCCGGTCCAGAGCTGCTGTTTCTTCATTCGCCGGCACAGGAACTCATGATCCTGGCAGCGCTGCGTCCCTTCCTGTTATGATGTGATTTATATGCACGATCATATCTCTGAAATAAAAGTTAACAATTCAATTAATATCAGCAGCACACAAAGATTGAAAAATGAAACTGAACTCTATTAGTGTGGCGTAAAATCCAAAAAGTAAGTTTGCTACATTTACATATATGGCAAATATATTCTTATGTTCCACTGCAAAGGACTATGTGAAAATCAAAAGTGAATTAATTTAACTTGACCGTTGATTGGAAGAAAAAGATGACTGGTGGTCTTTCTGGTACATGTCAACACACCGCAGAGTGTCTCCAGAATGAAATGACAGAAATTATGATTTGATTAGATATAATAAATGAGAAAAAATAATTCCATATTAACCCTGTGATGAACTGTCTCGCCCACTGTGGCAGCTCCACTGTGACAGTGAACAATATAAGGTCAAAACAGTTAGCAGACAGTGATGGATAAATGATAGCTTTCAGCTGAAAAGTAATTTCTTTTTGCCATTAATAAAGTTCTATCTTGTCTTATCTTATCTTATTGTATCATAGCGTATCGTATCTTATCGTATCGTTTCGTATCATATCGCATCGCATCGTATCTTATTGTATCATATTGTATCGTATCGTTTCGTATCATATCGTATCGTATCTTATTGTATCATAGCGTGTCGTATTGTATCGCATCGTATCATATCGTGTCGTATCTTATTGTATCGTTTCGTATCGTATCTTATTGAATCATAGCGCATCGTATCATATCGTAACTTATCTTATTGTATCATATCGTATCGTATCGTACCGTATCGTATCAAGTGTTGAAAAAGTAGGGAACACCCACTGGGTTCCCTTCAGTTCTTAACATGTAGGGATTTTTTTTAAACTTGTAAAATCTATAAATGTCAGAATTAGGCCATGAGATTGTAGACAAACTTGTTTTTTTGTTGTTTTTGTAACCACTGATTTTGCAATACACAGTCAGTGTTGTGAAAATGTGTATTTTTAACCCCAACCATGATCTGTTCCAAATTAGTTTTAATGCCTAAACTTCACCAAACAGCGAGAGAAAAGAAACAAGAACTAAGCCACAAAATGAACAAAACTAAGCAGAATGACCCGACACAGGACACAAACCTCAATCTCCTCAGTGAAAGTCCTGCACCTCGTGCCGCCACCCCCTCAACTTCCTCGCCAAGCACAAAACCTCCTATACGTGAATTGGCAGCAAATATTGGTGTGAGTTGCACAAATGCCAAAGGACGCCTTATGCATATCACTGAGACACAAGTGGTTTTGAGAAAACGGTGGTATTTGACATCTTGGGAATGATAACAGGTTGAGACTCGACCAAATCTGCTAAAAACTTAACCTCCTGTATTGTGAATTAGCTATGTCCACATGATTAACAGTGATGTTTAAAGTCAGCCTGTCATCTGAAAGGAGGTGTTGATGAGCAGATATTTTCTTTAGTAATGCAGCACCATATGATCCCTGTGAGTTCTACTGAATACAAGGCAGACGTATAGCAAACTGGAGAAAGAAAAGCCAGAGCAGAAATGCATTTTAGAAGCAAAAGACAAACTCTTTGTCTGAGCTCTCCTTCCTTTGTTTTGCATCCCGCAGTACTGCACAGGCGGCTGAAAACAGCCCTCTGTTTTGAATTCAGACAAGGCCCTGTATTGTGTTTGGTGGGGGTGGGGGCCGAGCCAGAGCATCATTCCTTAAGCATGACACTGCACTCTGCAGCTGACTAATGAAGACTTCTAATTAGATCAATGTCTCCCCAGACATGGAAAACAGAGACACACATGCCTCTGACAAACTATGAGTCAAATCGATGCACCAATTATAATGTGCACCAAGATCAGGGTCAAGAGTGTAAGGACAACGAAAGTCAGGCAAGACGGCAAATTAGTTAGGACCACACAGATACATTATCCCGCGCTGACAACCCTGCCAAAGTTAGCAGAGTTTAACTCCGACTGATTCATCAATCTGCTTTATGTATTCATGGATTAAGTGTGCTTTTCATTTTCTACAATCGCGTGTCGCTGTCAAAGCGACACCTTGTTTTATGTTGAGAAAATCCTCAGCATCTCCTTTGAAACGAGTTTACAGCATCAGCGTAGGTGTGTTAAAGCTGAGGATGTTCTTATGCTTTGCTATCATTTCAGACTTTTGTCTTACAAAGTCATTTACTTGGAAAAGCAACAAATTACTCACCCAGACGGGGAAACCGCGAACAGCCGACTTTATACTGCTCTCCAGTCAAGCATCAAACCGTACATCAGCACTCCGTGGGATCAGTTGTTATTAAGGGGGCTAGAAGTCACAACAGCCATAATTCTAAACCTTTTTTTTAATAGAGTTTTTTTTTTTGACACTGTAATATCAGCACATAACATATACAGTCCCAACAATGTGGATGCTTTAATCCGGAGCGCTGCACAAGTGCGTGCATTTTTAGCATGGCTGATCCCGCTGGAAATTTAAAATATACAGTAAGTTGTTTGAGCGCGTTGCAGTATTAATGCTTTAACAGCTCATAATGTTCATGTTTAATCTTGTAAAAGTAAATTAGCTGTCAAGACCCATTTGTAATGAGTTGGTAAAATCAATTACTGATGCGGCCTTTTTACTTCTTAAATTCAATTTCGATACCCAACGTGAATGAGAGTGTGTGTGTGTTTTTTTGCGCTTATGTATGTCTTCACGGGCCGTATTCATATCTCCGTGCATTGTGGAGTGACATTCCAATTAGTGGCCAGTGAATCGTGAGCTGTTATGGTCTTTCATAGGGCTGCCAAGCATGTGCCCAAACCGAAACGCCTTGAGCCAAAAAAAAAACTAGACAACAGCCCCTCAATGATGTTACTCCGAGGCAACGGCTGAGCTGCCAACATGCCAAGGGGGGTCTGCCTTAAAACCTTTCCGAGGGGATATCAGCCCTTTCGTTGTGCGGCTGAAATAGTGCACAGGTCAACAGATGTTTGGGTGCCAATTTAACGAGATGGGCCTTTCGAGAAATAAGTGATGAAATTCTAGGAAAGTAATGGATATGCCGAAAAAAAGAAAAGAAAAACCTCTCAGCTGCAGGTCTGTAAATACATAGGGGAGCAAGTAAAACACGAGTGACACCCATCTCGATGGTGCTTGATAATAATGGCGACGCTGTCAAAGCCTGATTTTAAAAAAAGTCTCAAATATAACAATATATCAGCTACATAAAAGCCTTTCATAATGGAGATCCATCACCTATCACTCACAGGTGCACAAGTTCGGAGAAATATCCGAGAGAAAGCGAAAATATCGAGAAACATCAACGGATTCGCGGGGTCAATTTTCTCCTTTCAAAAGAAATTTTCATGCAACGTGACGTGCTGTACATGCAGAGCGCCCTGTGCTTGACAGCCATTCATTACCTCTAATAGGCCTTCCTCCCATTTCCAGCAGACCTCCTGTAGCCTGTATGTACAGAACGCTGCTCCGCCACATGACAGAATGACAATGAGCTGCAGTCTCACAATGTTAAGCACTAGATGCGCTGAGACCGTCACATCATTTCTTCTCCCCCCTCCTCTTATATGGCGATGTGTTCAAGCTAATAAAATGTCGCTCTTTACGTAGGAAACGGTTCAGGGATGCTATTAAAACGTGTCTAATGTGCCAATGCAAATGTTGAAATGCAGCAATAAAGAAAGAAAGGGGGAAAAAAAGCCTCTTGACATTGCGGAAGACACGTCAATATCAATACACGCTAGCTTCTAAGTAATGCTAAATTTATATAAGAATTAATTAGATTGTTTTTCTAGCATCAATCTTCTGACGTGATTTTTTTTTTTCAAAGTGTGTAAAGATGAAATGTGACAATGGATCTAAATGCAGGCCTCTCTCAACGATTTGAAATCTTGAAGAAAAATCTATCTGTTAAGCTTCGCTTGCTTAAGATCCCAGACAAAATGTCCTTAATTGGTCATTTGGGAGCCCATCATGGGACTTTTGCTGTTTACTGCTCAGCTCCGTGGAACAATAACACTGACATGTCGCTCGCGTTTCCCTAAATCAGGACCTCAAATGAGTCCAGAGACTGAGCCAGAACAACAGGGGGAATGTCAACCCATCATGTACTTGTTAGTAAGTAATTTGTTTGATTTTATTATGCGCACATGTAGAAATCATTACTGTTTAGCGAAATGTCACGAATTTCCACTGACATTAATCAGCAGCAGCGTCACATCCTATAAGTCGTTCCTCCTTCCATTTTCATTGAAAACAATTAACTGATGCCGCCTAAGTTATCGCCAAAGAAGGAAGGAAGAAAAAAAAAAAGAAAAAAGGGATCAGTGGGTTTAAACTAGAAGCCATTATCTATAAAAACTTAATTATGGTAATAAAAGAAGAAGTGTGATAAAAGTTTCAAGGAGTATTAGACATGGACTGTTTGAGAGAAAACAATTATCATTATACACTTTGAAGACAGATCCGAACTCGATTGTGTTTCACGCCGCAACGTTCGCCGTCCAAGGCGTGTCGTCGAAAGCCCCCGCGACCGGGAATATACTGTAAAATCATGTTTGCGGTTTATAGACATTTTTTCCTGGATGTTTTGCCAGCAGTGCATCCACTGTCCTTGAATACGTGGACCAAAATAATAGACATTTCAAAGGGAACATGCGTGAAATTCCCCACCTCAAGAAATGTCATGGAAACATGGCACATACATCTCCGGGTAAATAAATAAATCTTTTCCTTTGCTCTGTTTCCAAAGGCGGAATGCACTGAAAGCCTGTGTTTTGTTGCTACATACTATAGGCTGAGGTCAATTACTCAATATGAGAATGAGAAATAGGGGTTGTTTTTCCCCCTATGCCTCTGAAATAAACTTTTTAGACAATCAACTCCCATTTACTGATTTCTGTCCAAAACAAAGAACACTCAGCTCTGAGTTTTGTGTTGAAAGCCCCCGTTACTCCTCTACGCATCCTTTCCCTCGCAAATGTATAAAATTACCTTCTGACAAAAGATCACCTCCTATAGGATGCTAAGCCACCACACCCACCTGTTTGTTGTGATCCTCGCCGGTCCCCCCCCCTTCCCTTTTCGAGCCACTTGTCACCAGCCGCCGTCAAGAAGAGATCATCGCTGGGTGTGAGGAAACACAATCTGCTTAACTAAATACCCTGGTACTGGAAAGCAATTCAGTCGCCACAATAGCAGCACAGCGAACGCTCATGGTTCTCACAATGCGTAATCCCCTCCACCGACGACCTCCCCTTTTTTCTTCTTCTGCTCCTCTTCGCTGTCCTTCTCAAACTTCCCGGGGAAGAACAAACACAGGCTCTATTGTCTGGCACTCGCATCTGAACACTGAAGAACACTCGGGGCCTTCATCGCCATGCAAATAGTCACAGCCCAGACTTACAAATGGATTTCTATCCGCTTTTTTCCACCCATTTTTTGCGAACAATCCTGCGCTTATTAGAGCTGAGCCCAAGCACTGAGGGGATGGTAATTCATCCAGTGCAAGGTCACTATTTTTGCAAGCGATAGGACGGCAACAGTCTGTTTTTTGACATTCAATCCGGTGGGAGCGTGTTGTTCCTGCATGCTTCGTCTTCGTACGGTCACATCTGAAAGTTGACCCGTCGTGACCCGGAGCTGCAGAAATGACTCGAGACGCTGTTTGTCCTCCACATCCTCCCAGTTGTTTACTTGAACTGGCAATCAAGGCGAAAGTGGTAAATAACCCCAGCTATCCAAACCTCCAATCTCCAAACACGGCTGTACAAGGCCTTTTTATGTACATCAGTGGAACGTAACAGGAGTAAATACCGCAGAAGTGGGGAATGATTGGTTTTAACTGCAGTCAGATCACATAACAAGTTTGACTTATAGAGGAAAAAATCTACATTTTCATTTCTCAAGTGATCGGAAGTGAAACTAACAGGCGGTTTGCATTATTGATGTTAACATCTGTCAGGCCTTTTGTAGCAGGTTCTCCTTTTGCTTTCTTGAATTAAGGTTGTCAGTAGGTATACTTTTTAGTTTCCCTCTCTTTTCTCCATCTTCACTATTAAACTGTTGATTTGATTGCAGTACTTGTACCAGACTATTTTTGAGACTTTGGTCTTGTTACTTAAGGAAAAGATCCCAATACTAGAACTAAAGATGCTCTACCTTCTTCCTCACTGTGACTCAAAGGGCAAACAACCTGCTCTGTACTTCCTGGTCTTCTATAAGAACATCTTCATTTGATGGTTTCATCCATCCATCCATTTTCTATACACCGCTTAATCCTCACTAGGTCGCATGGGGGGCTGGAGTCTATCCCAGCCGACTTAGGGTGAAGGCAGATTCACCTGGACAGGTCACCAGTCTATCACAGGGCTACACTTAGAGACAGACAACCAAGCACACTCACATTCACACCTACGGACAATTTAGAATCACCAATTAACCTCAACATGTTTTTGGACTGTGTGGGAGGAAGCTGGAGAACCCGGAGAGAACCCACGCTGCACGGGGAGAACATGCAAATTCCACGCAGAAAGATCCTGGTGCCCCCACCGGGACACGAACCGGCAACCTTCTTGCTGCGAGGCAACAGTGCTACCAACTGATGGTTTCAGATTATTTCATATATTTTACTGAACCCAACAACGCTAGACTTCACACCACAAACTGTAAGAGGAAGCCTGTATTTCCTGTGTGAAGTATGCTTAAAGGCTCAAAGTGGTCCGAGGGGTGGGTAAACATGCCCTTTTTCACCCTCCACTGCAGCCCTGCAGGTAATTGTGGTCACTCCAATTACCACAAGTTAAAAGTTCTTGAGTCACTTTTGATTTGACAATCCAATTACCTTTTGGATAAGACGCCCGAAGACCCCTTCGTCGCATGCTTCTGGTAAACATGCTAACCTCACAGGGCTAATTACAAACCTAAACAATGCTAATTGATTCCATCATTAGAGAGATCTGAGAGGGCCCGGCCAGCATTGTTGGGCGTAAATGTCTCCGAAGTGACCACAGGAGCCTTCCCTCAGAGCTCTGTGACAGGGTGGAATTTGTTATTTCGGAAGTTGAGATTAGTTCTCCCTGTGAACTCCACTCCCATTCTGATTCCATATCAAACAGAGAAATGTCAGGACCTGCACTGTGACATTTAAAACCCCCATTGTAGACCTTGTCTAATTGAGCCTCCCTCATTATAATGATGGAGTGTGGGCCGACCACTGAAAAAGAACATCAGAGATGAAAGCCACGGTTTAGTGCCAGCAGGAATTATTTACATTCCCGCTCCCGTCTTCTCTCTGAGCGCGGCGGCGAATCCGACTATCTCTCAGTCTCCGGTGACATTTCGGCGCTGTCAAATAATGGGCACAGAGTAATGGTCAGCATATTCGCAACAAGATAAAGGTGAGTTCGGTCAAATCAGCATTCACCGGGATGTCAGGCAGTATAAATAATGTAAACTGTAATTGTGATATACGGCCCGCTTATATGCTGCATTATTCACTATCAGCGGAGACATCATTCTGGTCCCAGGAGGTACAAACACAAGATACTGTTGCTTTGACATGAAACTCCTCATTTCCGCCTCCCCCATTATTCTACACTTCTGATGAATGCCTTTGAGTATTTATTTTCTAATCACACACAAATATAAAGTTCACAAGTTCAGGAGATGAAACGCTGAACTGTCCCGCTGCTTCGTCACGTACGAGGCAGACTCACCCTTCACAGCTTATATTGTTGCATTGTCTCTCTGTAATTGGAAGAAGAATAAAGCGTCATTGGCATTCCGCTCAGTGCGCTGTGGTGAATTTGATGAGGACGTCACATTAAAAATGCATGTTCCTCATGCGTTCTTTGGCCTTTGTCTTTAGCCATGGGAAACAGCCGACACTTATGACAAATAAGGACGGAGCTGACGCCGCCTGAGGTGGATCTCTCTATTCGACAGGAAGCATCAGCGTCTTCCCCTCAGTGTACGCCTCCTCCGTGCATTTGTCAAACGGCGGGCGCTGATAGAGGGAGAGGAAAAAAATTGGGTCACAACAGAAAAGTTGGATGGTGTTCTAAGACAAAAAGTCCGAGCGAAAGTGAATTCCTCAACTGATGAATGATGGTTGGGAGCACCAGGACTTTGATAAATCCCGGTCACTTTCTGAGGAGGAGCTGAACAAAAAGCAAAGCTCCCTACATCACTGTTTTATCTATGTCTATATATTTTGTAGTGTTTCTTTGCTTTTGGTGGGAGCACAATCCAAAAAGCAAAAAGCACAAACAGCCTGAGGGAGTGACAGGTGGATCCTGTCTTATTCAAACCTCTGACATCTCAGGTCTGCTGTTCTCTTTGCTGCTGAAGTGTGTTGTGTCATCATGCCAAGATCTAAAGAGGCCTTCAGGAGGAGGAGAAAGAAAAAAAAAGTCTGGATGCTTGTGAGTCTGCCAATGGATTTACAATTTATTCGAAGTAAATCATTCCACTGTAAGAGACATCATCTACAAATGACTGCCAATTTGTCCTGGACTGGTTTAGTCCAGTAAAACCCAGCCCAGGCAACACCGAGTGTCCAAGAACCCCCAAAAATTCCATCGAAGGATCTGCAGGTGTTTGGTGTCAAAGTGCTGCATCTACAATCAGACCGAGATTGTTCCAATTTGATTTGTATGGGACGCATGCCAGGAAAGAGCTTTTGCTGTCCAAAAAGAACATTAGAGCAAAACAGTCTTGCCAACGAGGCAAAGAGCAGGTCTTTTGGAGTAATGTGCTGTGGACAGATGAGCTGTTTGGCTGCAGGAACAGAAGACATGTTTGGTGCAGCTTTTCAGGAGAAGAACCTCCTACCAGCTGTGGGAGACGGGGTTACTGGGCAGCTTGTAGTCACTGATTCAACTATGAATTCTGCATCAAATCGAAAAGTGCTTGAAGATAATGTGTCCGCAAGTTGAAGTTGACTAAAAGTTTGAACCAGCAAACCCACCAAGAAATGGCTCAAAAAGAACAAAACGGAGGGTGAATGGAGATTTGGATCCCACTGAAATGTTGTTGGAGGGGATTTAAAACAGCTAGAACATGTGAGAAAAGCCTCAAACATCTTGGAACTGAAAGAATTCTTGAAAAGTTGGCAAAATTTCAGCCAGCCAAGGTCAGAAACTGGTGGGCAGTTATGCAAAAATGCCTAGAAGTCATCAGTGGCTTCTGAGGCTAAGGGTGTATTTACATTTTCAATATCACATCTGTTGATATCTCTGATAAATAAATGCTTAAAAGAGCACATTTTCATTGTGCTGTTGCTCAAGTCGGTGCCAAAACAAATGTTGTGCTTGTTCAAATATGCTGAAGAACATTTCCAATTGAACGTTCTTATATTTACACTTGACTGTACAGGTCTACAAATCATTACTACATTAGAAAATATCTGCCTCTTTGGTACAAACTGAAAAAAAAAATAAAGCAATAAGTTAACTACAACCGCCAGGAGGCATTTTCAGTTCTTTTACATATTCTGGTAAGGTGAGAAGAAGAAGATCACAGTGTTAGGAAAACTGATAAGACAATCTGCCTCTTAGATTTATTCAGTTTGTTGGATTTGGGGATTCGGTTTTAAAAGCATGGTGTTTGGAATTTGTTGCACCTCTGATTTGTGCATCTTCATATTTGCACGGAAGAAGATCATACCCAGCTGACAGATTAAACCTTTTTCTCAGAGATAACGTTAATTAGAAATAGTAGCCTATAGGATAAACACTCACATGTCAGTTCAAATGGAGTAAGCGTGGTGTATGTGCAATAATACACTGTGAGGTATGGTAAAAACTGAAAGGTGCAGCAGAACAACTGAAGGCATTTCAACTGTCTTCTGTCTAAATGCTGCTCATGTACTTGGAATTAAAAGTGTTTAAGTTGACTGAAACTCCTGTGCAGTCGACAGCCACACCACTGTTTTTCTATTTAATGTCAGCAAAGTTTCATCTTCTGAACTGACAGCGTTTCTCAGAGGATTCACTCCGGCAACGAGCCGACTCCTCTCTGTTCTCGGGGGAAATATAGTTTTGAGTTGAACGTGTGGTATCCATCATGCTGATGAAATGCATAATTAATTCTCATCATTCCTGTAATCCTTCTCCAGCCTTGACCGCGAAGATGAAAATTACCAGGCCGAGCCCGTGCCAGCAGGGCTGGGCCATATCTATTGTAGTTTCCTCACTCGGCGGCAAAGAAACGCAGATGATAAATCAGCAAGGTTAC